CGCTGTTCCGTTTTTAACTTTCGAAAAATATACTGCGACCCGCAAAATACTAGCAACCCTGAATTTTGTCCTGCGAGCAACATAAAATTTGCCGACCCCTTGGGCGTAGCCGATAGTCAGTCACGGCTTCTTCCACATCCGAGTCTATAAATCCAAAAACAAATGGATGGTTAATTATGGACTGGTGATCGGACTGGAGGCCGTGATAGGATGAGGAATCGGGGAAGAATTTTTCCGAAGTTTTTTGGTGCAGGTCATCAGGCTGTACGAATGAATGAGATGTACGAAAATCATTATTATAAGTTTGGGAAAATTAACTTTAGTTTTATTATTTCAATGTGAAATGGGGTGAATTTAGAAAGTGAAAAGCTATAAGGCAAGAGTACACGGCGGTTTTTGAGGAGGTAGAACCCTGGATTCTTTCATTTCCGACCTATTATATGGTAAAAAGGGGGTTTTCAGCCGTGCTACTATTGCTATTAAAACAACGAAATCACCTTTCCATCAGTAAAATGGGGTAATTTTAGATATAATAAAAAACTCGCTGAAGAACACCAAGCTCATCTATCTCATTAAAAAACACTATAAACTATGATTTGTCTTCCTTGTTTGGTCTGTAATATATTCGTTTCTGACTTTATATTTTTTTGTAGTACAGGGGGGCGATGAAGTTGTATAAACTACTTTAGGGGGGCGATGGTCAAAAAAGTTTGGGAACCACTGGTATAGACAAAGAAATGGATCTTCAGTTATATTCCCCTGTTTTCAAAAGATCCGGAACGTCGCGCATTGTGGATATCATCTATTGACAGGACTGCTTGGTGTCAAGTCCAGAAGCCATCTCACTTGTGTTTCACTGTTTGCGGACAGAACTTCGTTGATGGTGATAATGTGCCGTTATCAATTTTTTTAAAATATTTATGAGCTCCCTCATTTCAATGGAAAGCAGATGACAAACTACTGTTATTGGTAGGCCTACTTGTAGACTTGACTCGTGTAAGGAATTAATCATCAATTGCCATAAGGTATTGTTTCCCTAGTTAGCAGGTAATCTATTAGTAAGTGTAAAAAGTTGAATAGATAACTAAAGTTTAACGCCAGTGCTCATGCAAAAAATAACCAGAATTCAATTGAATTCTCCATCTAGGAATACGCTCGCCACCGCATCTCTGATCCCTCTGGGAGTTTCACAGGTTCCAATCCCATGCGATGATAGTTATGTGCGAGGGAATTTCAGCTCTCCTCCCACTGAGGGTGGTTCACACGACCGCTGGGCGATTACGACATCAGTAATCAGTAGTTTATTTTTTCACCACACATGAAATACACTAAATGCATACGGAATGTAAAAGGAAGCAAAAACGGATAATTCGAGGTGAAAGGAGTCGCGAAAACCAAAATTGGTTATCGAGCGGCGACACCTGAGCTAAAGTCTAATAAATGAATCATAAAACAATGAAAAAAGTCAAACAATAAATAAAAGAATATAAAGAAGTGAAAAATCGAGACGACCTGAATCCAAGAGACGCTCGAGACACAGAAAAGCAAAACCAAAAACGACTCCAAGCACATATGTGCGAGTAACTATGGGAACGGCAGCAGGAATGCAGTACAGTGCGATGACAGGATACCGAACCGATATCGCAGCGTTATGGAATTGATAGTTATTTAACAGATTTTAAATATATCCCGGTAGGGATATTATGCCGATAACACGGCGTAATCATAGTTATAAATGTTTGCCAAGAGTTCGAATAAGATTGCATGAAGATTGCAAGTGCTGGGGTGCAAGAAGATTGCAAGTGCTGGGGTAAGTCGAATCGTCATTAATACATTAAAGATAAAAATTATTCTAATCTGTGAAAAACAGGTTAACTCAACAAAGTAGATGGGGGTAACAATAAATAGCGTTGTAAATTAGTAAGTCCCCCACCATCAAGTCCATGCTTCTAAAACACATGACTCACCATCAACGAAGTGCTGTCCGCAAACAGTGAAACACAAGTGAGATGGCTTCTGGACTTGACACCAAGCAGTCCTGCCAATAGATGATATCCGCATTGCGCGACGTTCCGGATCTTTTGAAAACTGTGGAATATATCTGAAGATCCATTTCGTTGTCTATACTATACGTACAGCCAGCGGAACAATACGAAATAACCATTTTCAACAGCCAAACAAAACGGAAACGTATAATCCGACTTGCAACTGACAGAAGCCAAATGGACGTTTTTGTTTTATTGCCGTCCAGTAAACAAGGTCACGTGACCCGTGCAAGTCCTCTATATGGGTGGTGTGATACCTTATGAGGGTTGTAGACCGTATAGTTTAGCTCCAGTACCTATTATTGTAATTAGGCGACCAGTCGAGATATATTGGATTCTCCCCTTCGTTTTAATTTGTTGTGGTATTCTATGATTTGTTTTGTGTGTATACAAAATTTTATCCTAGGTTGAGGTTCTGCTGTGAAGTTAATGTGAGGGTCAACATACGGATGGTCAGTGTGGTTTGAGAGTTTCTGCATGGTTTGCGAGGAATTCACCCTGTGTCCCAACCATAATACAACTCTGGTCTTTGAACTAGCGTTTTAAAGATAAACAAGAGAGCTACGCACAAATATATGGACACGCTAGACCAGAGCGAATCAGTCATTACCGGTACCTTTTACGCTACCGGTACCCTCAAAAAAGTTCTGAATTTCCAGTAGCAAGAATTTTGCAGAATCAAAACGTACAGCCAGTCATGACACTGACTAAAATCCGTGTTCCCATGGATAAAAAATAATACAGCAAAATTTTAGACGAAATATCAAATTTCATAGAATTCACGCAAAATTTTGAAATAAATAAAAGTAATAGCCTTCTAGCGAAAAAATTAATCTTCAACCACTGAAAATTTCAAAGCAATGGACCTTTCCCCGAGCATCGACTTCCTTGTTTACTTCGTAACATTGGCCAATCAGCAAGATGCAAAAAGTGACGTAACAATGCCCCCATTTCGCATCCGCTCAGACACTTTTCTCACTCAGACAGATTTTCAAGCGTGATCGTAAACATTACCTCGTGTTCGCGTTTTTGAACTTTATTCGTTAGTTTTCAGTTGTGTTTTGGGAACTTAAATAAAAATCAGATAATTCAATGATCACTCTGTCTTTCTGGGAGTTTTAATTTAATTGCAGTAATAAAAATGAGTGTAGAAATAGCTGGGATAGACTAGCCTAAAATTCTTTACCGGTACTTTTAAAAAACAGATTGTTGTATGCGATGAATCATAATGATGGTTTGGAACACATAGCCCATTTTACAGACGCCAACTCGCAAAAGCACTCTTAAAATAGCCTTGACAATTTTGCAATGGTAAAGTATGGGGAGAATTTTCCGAGGGTCAAAGGTCGGGGAAAGGTCCATTGGTCCAGTATTCGAAGAGAAAAGCGACGTTTTAAAAACGTGTCAAAGAACAAGAACAACAACAACAACATAATATTGAAACGATCGTTATGTCCACTACGTGTCCGATAACCAATAATCAATATCTACTCGAAATAATAATTAATTCTCAACAAAAGTGTAGGGTAGTGCTGTTTCCAAATATGTAACCCTTGAATATCCTACTCGCAGATGTATTTTCTGTTTTTCAGGTCGTTCCGTGATGATCAATACAATGGCTAGTTTATTGAATACAAATGGTGTCTACAACAACAAAATTCGCAGGCTGATGTCTCATCCACGATAAACTTGAATTGACATCTATTACGCCACAATAATTAAATGAAGAAATGATCCTGTGAAATAACAATACTAATTCCTTTATTCCTAATTCCTCGCAGAAGTCAATATCTAAGAATGAAAAAAACACCTTATAACCTTAGTAACCAACATATTCCTATACCCTGTCTTCCTACTGTAATTAATTATAATTACTCATACTTATAAAGTTACTGATACATTTAAATACTTATTACAATCTGGACTATACTTTGGCAATAATAGGCTTTAGTATGGGGAATGAAGCGGTCTAGACTCTAGCCCACCTCTTCATGCATCCAATTCTGGCAACTTTGGTTGGGCATCTTGGCATTTGACTCCATCTATAATCAGCTTGACATAATATTTTTTTTAAAAAGTTTATCTTTACTGTTCATTCCCATTTATAAAACTGATCAATTTGGCAGTGGCAATCATCATAAATTTATTAATATGGTGTGGCAAGTAATTTTTATTTATTTATTTTTTATTAACTACCAGTATGTAATTTTTCATGTTCCCTTTACTTAATAACTTATTTATGGTTGTGTGTGTGGGTGCGTGTGAGCTTGTGTGAAATATTTCAATTATTTTAGGTGAGTGAACACGTACCACATCTTCTTGGCAAAACCTTCCATCTTATATACATTCTGTACGTTTTAAACCTTATCTAAGGTTTTGTTCGCTCTCCTGACTTCATAATCAGTTTTTATTTATTTATTTTTACCATTCATCTTATTGTTTTGCTGATTATGGAGTCGAAATAAACTTATACTTATACTTATACTGTTTTACACAAGTCAAGTCTGCAACTGCAAGTAGGCCCACGCCTAGGCCTACTAATAACAGTAGTTTGTCATCTACTTTCCATTGAAATGTGGGAGATTGTGAATATTCAAAGAAATTGATAACGGCACACTATCACCATATTATCACTCACCATCAACGAAGTGCTGTCCGCAAACAGTGAAACACAAGTAAGATGGCTTCTGGACTTGACACCAAGCAGTTCTGCCAATAAGCAATAGATGATATTCACATTGCGCGACGTTCCGGATCTTTTGAAATCAGTGGAATATAACTGAAGGTCCATTTCGTTGTCTATACTATACGTACAGCCAACGGAACAATACGAAATAAACATTTTCAACAGCCAAACAAAACGGAAACGTATAATCCGACTTGCAACTGACAGGAGCCAAATGGACGTTTTTGTTTTATTGCCGTCCAGTAACAAAGTCACGTGACCCATGCAAGTCCTCTATATCTGGTGTTTCAGTCAGCTTGAAGTGATTTATTTATACTTATTCCGATTTTTGGATTACTCTTGCTCGTGTCTGTAATAAATGAGAAAAATGAGCAGATATTGAATTCAAAATCCGGTTTTGATTCTTGTCGACTCCTATTCACCAAGAACGAACTTATTCATGCAAAGAAAAATAAACAAAATTTAGCCAGGAGCTGCCTCTTTCTGACATTTATTGTTCAAGATGGCTTAAATTTTTGAGTTATCATCGTTTATTCTACGAATCGATATGTGGAGCCCTAAGGAGCAATTACTGCGATTAACAAGATCACTCAGGAGCGCCAGGACTGTGGAATTGCCCAAAGGTTTGTACGCTATAACTGTACGGCTGTCTGGCTGTAAGGTACCGGTATGAGTTTATTTCGACTCCCATAACACTAACAGGCGATAAAATTATTGATAAAAACAAAGAAAATAAAAACGGATTATGAATTCAGCAGAGCATACAAAACCTTAGATAAGTTTTGAAGCATAGGTACAGAAAATAAGATGGAAGGTTTTATCAAAGTGTGAAAAAGAAATGTTACGTGTTCACTCACCTAAAACCATTAAATTTATTCCTACACTAAGCAGAGCTAGGTCTGTGCATCAGTGCATGGTACACAAAGACACGATACCTGACTAGGAATGATAAGACCATACTGGGCCCGCTGTTTGCCATGTCCTGTAGGCACAATGTCTTAGGATAGGATTTACATATTTATCCCGGGGAGAGGAAAGCCGATAAGACGGCTTATCCATATGGCGAACCACGGCCTCTCGTCCGGTTACCATTCCAAGTCTGGTATGGGATTAGTTTTACTGTATTGTTTGTTTTCGGAAGCATGGACTTGATGGTGGAGGAAGCCGTAACCGACCAGTGGTTACGTGAACCACCCAACGACGGCGAGGAGTCCAGCAATCCTCTCGCACATAACCATCCCTGCATGAGATTCGAACCTGCGAACCCACGCAGAGTAATTAGAGGTGCGATGGCGAGCGTATTCCTAACGCTTAGCCCGTTGAGCCACACCGCCGCGCCACTTGGATAGACCTTCATGCTGAACATACCGTACACCGAAACAATTTTATTTCTGTTACATTTCCATTGTATTGATGACTATATTCTTGGATAACAAAATAATGAACTCTCTCCACAAAATGTTCTTTGCGAGTCAGCAGGGTCTAAACAACGCACTGTCAGACTGTACTAGGCTGAACGCCTTGTCAAGAGATGGGCTGAAATGTTGGTTGGTCAGTTGGTGGCCTTGTATTACTGTATCGATGGAGCAGTGCTTTTTCGCATCATGAAAAAACTTGTGCATATGCAGTATTAAAATTGTCAACTTTCCATCCACTTGTTCCATGGTCCTGAAACAAAACAAGAATTTTGAATTTGCCCAATGATTAAGTTCTTTTAACAGTACCATCTTTTGTTTTCCCAAAATAAATTAAAAAAATTCTATTATGATTCCTATGTTCTTAATGTAAGTCAATGTAATTATGAGAAAATGATAATTTCACAGATTTACTGGGGAAGGGAAGTTGCAGGGAACCATAGCTGGTAATTGAGTAGCGGCACATGATTTGTTGATGTTTTTATTTCAGATAATGAAGCAGCCGCCAGATATCTGATGCCACTAGTCTTCGGAAATCAACAAAAGTAAGTATGAAGATGACAAAAATTTATTTAACACCTAAACTTGTGTTTGTGTATGATTGTTCTCTAATGTTGGAGTAATATAGGACGTTTCGCCGGACTCCTTGCCATCGTAAGGTGGTTCACATAATCGCTGCTCGGTTATGGCGTCCTTTTTTGTTAAAACGAATAACTGGCTAACTAATCCCATTTCCGACATGGAAGGGTAACAGTACAAGAGGCCGTGGTTTGCCATATGGTTAAGTCGTCTCACCGACTTTCCTCTCCCTGGGGATAAATATCTAAATTCTATCCTTTGCACTAAAGTTATGTCTTTCTAGAACAATAGTTCTCAAACTTTATAAGCCATGCCCCTTTTTTAGATATTGTAAAGTCTCACGTCTCACCTCAAAAATAACTAGCTAGCAATAAGCTACAAATAAAAGATAGTGAACGAAAAATATGCTTTTTTTAAAAACACGTTGAAAATACGTGGATGGAACGTAAATATCCAAAATAAGGCGGACAAGATTTAACAAATATTTTTTTAAAATGTTGCCCTCTTGTGTGGAGCGATCCCGCTGATTGAGAGAACCAATGTCTTATAACAGGGGTTCTCAAGCTTTTTTCAGGATGACACCAAGGACAACTTTCAAGTGTCCAGTGTGACCCCAGGTCAATATATATATTTTTCATGGAACTTTAGAGCTTCTTTTACTGGACTTTTGAGTTTGGTCATGTGGTGGTATTAAGTAAAAACCAAACAGTGATGTCACAATAAGCACCTACATTTTCTATATCATAAGCATAGAGCGATGCCATGGTACAAACTGCTAAATTCAACATAGTTTGTCAAATCTTAGATGATTTGTACATCCATCCTCCACTATACCTCAGCGACCCCATGACCTGTTTGCGACCCTACCTACTTATCACGCCGACCCAATTTGGGGTCACAATCCCTGGTTTGGGAACCCATGTTCTAGAATATGTTCCAACTGATCTGGATTCTGTCAGTACACCCTGGATCTATTCATGTTGACTTTCAACTTTGTGTTGAGCAAGTACTGTATCTTTGAAAATAGACTATTCAAATTTGGCTCGATAGCTAAGCGAGGAATTCTTTTCAAGGTCAATCTCTGATCTTCTGGAAAACTCTGAGTTTGATGTAAATTTTGCCTTCGGAAGAGTTCAAAGAACATTGCTGCAAATAGCTGCAAAGTAGGTTGCTTTTATTTTTGTTAGTGTATTCAATTGTTTAAATTACTCTAAGGTAGTTTTTTTTTCTTTTCGCACATCTGAAGCTTAAAACATTAATCTTTTCTTTCAAACTAATCTAGAATTGCTAAAACTACTGCTCTAACCGAATAAACTACTCTCCCGAATCGCATACATTCTAAAATTATATTTTAAATATGAGATGTCAAACTGAAATATTTACCGAAATCATTATAAATTGCTACAAATTGATTTAGTTTTCCGTTCGCCTGATTGGTACTTTTTAAGGAAGTGAACAAGGAAATCAATACTCATTCAAAACATCCATTTACAGCAGTGTTTTATACATTTCAGTGTTGGCTCTGCAGAATGTCTCACGATATTTCTCAAGCATGGTTCCAACCCCGATTATCAGGATATATCTGGTTGTACTGCTTTACATCTGGCTGCCAGAAATGGGTAAGTTAAAATCAATTTTCCGCTCATAGTCACAACTAACTCAGGGTGTAATAAAGCAGTTTTTTGGGTGTCGCTCCTCGACAACCAGATTTGGTTCCGGGCGGCTTCCCTTCCTCAGTAAAAATGTGTGTTGAATTTTTTTTTCTTTTTTAATTTTGTATGTTATTTTTTTGCTAGTGGGATAAAATAAAATTGTGTATGACTATTTCAAACCTATGGGTCGCCTAAAAATTTTCTTGGCTTGAATGTTTTCTTAAACAAAAACTTAAAAGTTAATCATTTTCTATAAAATTTTATTGTAAATTTTATATTTTGTAAGGGATTGTTGCTCAATAGTAATTTTATTTATTGGAAGTATCAAAGCCTCACTGTGTGCAAACTAGCGCAGCTTTCTCAGTTTGTTTATATTAGTCATTCAATTTTGTGTCCATAAAAGTACTACACGGCATTTAGTACTTGAGCCCGGATCACGAGATTTTACAAAATTTATTAAGTGTCTTATATCTTGACTTTCCGCTGGGATATGTAAATCCCCTAATCAGGAATCATTTTCAACCTGCAGTCTGGATTCATAGTCAATTGAAAATTTTAACACAACTGCAATATAAGGTAGTTGATAAAACATATCAGATGTTTCTAGTAATGCTTTTATAGTAGAGTACTCGCATACCTTGACGCTTCCATTCACTATCTCGCAACATTTTTATTTTGTTTTTCAATCTTCATAATCAGTTCAATTATTTTCAGAAAGCGTCGTTGCGTCCAGAAGCTTCTCGAATTCAAAGCTGATCCAGAAATAAGAAATAATGAAGGATTTACCACAATACACTGGCTCGCTGTGAGTTTTTTTTTTAATTCTCATTCTCAAAAACCAAATTCTTTATACTGTAGACCAGAGGTCGGCAACCTACGCCCCGCGGGCCAGATCTGGCCCGATGAGTAATATAATCCGGCCCGCAATGGTTCACTGAATTATAGTAACAAAACAGTTATTTTGACGATCATATTCTTTACGTAACAGAATTTATTATGAGACACGTGTAGAAGTTATATTATAATCTAAGTATAAAATGCACAATTACTCGTTTAGTGAGCCTATAATTTAATTATAACTAGACAAACGGCAACAAAACGTAGGAAAGTTGTGATTTGTTGAGATGCAATGCAATGAGGAAATCAATCTATATTCTATTCGAGAAATTTATCACTGCATGATTTTTATTACAAAAAGTATCATCCGTTCGGTTTTCAACTTTCTTAAAATTTTTGCGGCCCGCCAATGACTTGCAACCCCTAATTTTGGCCCACGAGCGACAAAAGGTTGCCTGCTGTAGACCCAGTAAAACTGTTTATAGCCCGCGGAGCAGCACACATTTCCAAATGCTGTTAGAATAAATTAGAGAGTTCGATCAGGAATTATATTTCCAAGGTCAAGGTCAATTTTATTTTTTCCGAGCAGTAAAAAAATATCACACGTACAACATAAGAGAAAATGTTAGTTACACAGTTCCATTGGGGAATTTAAGTCGAGGGAACCAAAGCTGATTATCGAGCAGCGACACCCGAGGTTTTAATATCTAATTCAAAAATTTTGGAATTCTAGAGTTTTGAAACGATTAATACTGACAGTGAGTACCGTATGAATTATCTAGCTAACACCGCTTATCAGAGATTATATAGCAATGGTGGACTTCCTGAGGTATGCGCACCAAGATGGCGCACAACCTGATCTCAGGTTGTGTACCAGGTTAGGGTTCAGGTTGTGCGACATCTTGGTGCGCATACTTCAGGAGTACCGCAAAGGTTATATTAATTTAAGAGCCATAAGACCAACAGATGGACCATCCAAATCTTCCTAGTTTGGCATTGTCTACCCATTTAATTAAGAATATGAATCCATGAATTGTGAATTTGCAATACTGACATATTTAAGTTCCATTTCTTTAATCCAACAGTGGGCAAACCACAGCTCGCCAGAATTTTATGCGGCTCTTCTCGCTGGCGATAATTATATATTATCCAAATTTTATTAAGAGAAACTGTAGCGTGACAGTTATTTTTATTTCATTATGCGGTTGGAGAATATATAGGCTACTCTGCAATATTGTTATTAAATGTTTGTGTAAAGTTCTTTTCAGTTCATAGTATTCTAATATTATTAATTTCAAAAATTATGCGGCTTCCACATATTTCTGACTTGCTGCATGCTGCTCTTATACTAAAGAAATTGGCCCACCCCTGCTCTAATCTCTTAGCTATCAGACCCACTTACCTCTGTCACCCATTTAAACATCTTTTTATTAATTACTCAGGTAAACGGTAGAGCAGAAATACTAGGCGATGTTTTACCTTATGTGAAAGATGTAGATTGGGAGGACGATCGTGGCCAGACAGCTTTGCATGTTGCATCTCAGAACGGACATAAATCGGTGAGAAGTTAGGTTGGTTGGTGTGGTGATATACTCGTAATAATTAGACCGGCGTTTCTCAATCTTTTCTTTCTCGGAACACCTGAGCTTTTTCTTATCGATTTCAATCGGTAAGTATGTTGATAGGTATTTGTCTGTCTGTCTGTTAGATGCACGCGATATCTCACGAAAGCGAGATTGAATCTGCTCCAGATTTTGCATGTGCATTCATCTTATGTCGGACCAGAAGCCTATTGATTTTGGATGAATTATGTCGTATAATTAGCGAGCTATTAATTAATTAGTGATGGGACACGAGGTGTCACTATGGAATAAGATCGCTGTTTTGGGGGATCCCCTAACTTTCGATCGATAAGTCTTCGGTCTCTGACCGATATTTTCATTTATCTATTCTCGCAGAACACCAAGAAGCTTTACGATTATGAACAGTAAATGAAAACGCCATGCTTTCGCCTGTATACTTGTTCAGTTAACAAGGCCTATCTGAATTGGATCACGTTCACTTTTTTTATCTTGCTGCAAGAAATTAGAAGGTGAAATTGATAGGTGGTTTCCAAAATATTCAGCCTATGGTAAAATTAGAAAGTAAACTTGATGAGTAACGATTAAAAATTCAGGCCGACAGTTTACGATTATGAACAGTAAATGAAAACGACATGTTTTCCAGACTGGCACAAGGTCTCTCTGCCTGTTAGATAGAAAGGTATGTTGGCCTGTTTGTCGCCAGTTGGGAGACAAAACTTACGGCCCAGATTTGCGGAAGAATGGCTGAGATCGCTCATACTACTAAAATGGTGTATCGAATTACGGCCATTTCGGTTCCTAGCCTTTTAAAAGTAGCTTTTTAACTCACAGACTGTACAATGCCTTCTGGAACACAATGCAAAAGTGAATAAAGCAGATAAGACTGGATATACAGCCTTGCATTTCGCTTGCAGTCACGGACAACGACACACTGTACCATTACTTCTTGAGCATGGAGCAACACATATACCTGACCAAAGTGGGGAGACGCCCTTGAATATGTGCTTAAGGGTATGATTTATTATTACAAAATTTACTTTATTATAAAAAATTATTCAAAATCTTACATCAAATCTCTCCTTTAGGCACAAACGGCTTCAATCCATTTTTTTACATGGAATAAACAGTTGCAAATATTCCGTACTTAGAGATAGATAAAGTCGCTAGAAAGCTATAACTTCATTTTTTTTTAAAATTTTCTCGATTCCTTAGGGGACCTGACATAACATCCAAAATTTTGCTGCTTTTTTCTGATACATGAGCACACTGTCATATGACATCCTGTTCAAATTATTATGACATTCGGTAAATCTTTGAAAATGGCCTGAAAATTTGCTGACATTGCTGTATTAGGTCTTCGACCATTTTTTCAAATATTTTTTGAGCATCGTTGTCTTGCTATTTTAGGGTGGATACGGTACAACGCTTCAGCTATTACTCGACCATTTTCCCAGATTGTTAAACACACTCGTTCCTGCTGCTGCAAAAATAATGGAATCAAGATACGATTCTGTAAGTGGTTTCATTGATTGATTTTGGGTGTAATTCAATGCTATCCAGATTCTTTTTTCACAAAGAGTCAGTGAAGTGTAACTGGTCGGAATATTCTTATTCTGATATAACATGTTTTTATTTTTAAAGGTATTTCAAATTCTAATACAGTGGTTTTCAAACTTTTTGAGTTGCGTACCCTTACTAGATTTTGCTAAGTCTCGTGCCCCACCTCAAAAATAAATAGCTAACAATATACTAAAATTACAGATAGTGAGGCGAAAGTATGTTTTATTCAAAAAAACATGTTGAAAATACGTAGATAGAACGTAAATAATGAAATAGATATCCAAAACAAGGCAGGCAAGATCACATATAACAAACATTTTTATTTTAAATTAGCTTTACGGCCCCCTCAGAAAATTGTCTAAATACTGTATTTATATATTGTATTTTGCGCATGTTTGGTGCTGTATTAATCCTATTTAAAACACACAACATGCACTGTATGAAACTGGTTCAAGGCAATTTTTGGGGGTAAGTTAATAAATTCACTCAACAGCTCATTTTATGTTTTAGGTTATGTGTTGTTTTCGAAACTTGTGTTCGGTCCAGAAAAAAGAATCCATTTTGAAAAATATTTCTGAGTTTACAGCAAACAGCGGGTTCCAACTTCTTAGTGTGTCAAGTGATTATGAAACACAGGTAAATTTCAGATGGATTGCTGAACCCCATGAATGGTTGTTACTTATCGATCTTAAGATCGGTAAGTATGCTGATAGGTATTTGTCTGTTTGTCTGTCTGTTAGATGCACGCGATATCTCACGAAAGCGAGGTTGAATGTGCGAGGTTGCATGTGCATTCATCATATCTCGGATCAGAGACCTATTGATTTTGGATGAATTATGTCGTATAATTACCGAGTTATTAATTAATAAGTGATGGGACACACGGTGTCACTATGGAGTAAGAGAGCATGAATCGAAACCACAGTTTCTGTTTTGGGGGCTCCCCTAAATTTCTATCAATAAGTCTTCGGTCTCCGATCGATATTCTTGTTTGTTAAATTGTCTAGATTAAGTGGTTATCTGTTTATTAGCCAATTAGGAAGTTTTGAAAAATAATTATTTCGAAAGTAATTAAAAGTAGCATTCTTTTATGTTCTATCGGTCAATTTTAGTAACCCCACAGGTATTCTTAAATTTTGTTCATTCCTATTTACCTCTACCACCTTTGATCACTAGAAAATTTGAAATCTATTAGTTGAGAAGAAGAAATGAAACCACTTACATGTTATATCAGAATAAGAATATTCCGACCAGTTACACTTCACTGACTCTTTGTGAAAAAAGAATTTGAATAGCATTGAATTAAACCCAAAATCAATCAATGAAACCACTTACAGAATCGTATCTTGATTCCATTATTTTTGCAGCAGCAGGACTGAGTGTGTTTAACAATCTGGGAAAATGGTCGAGTAATAGCTGAAGCGTTGTACCGTATCCACCCTAAAATAGCAAGACAACGATGCTCAAAAAATATTTGAAAAAATGGTCACACTTTCATATCAGAAAATCGATCCATTTTTTTCAATTTGCATTCATGAGCCTCTACTTTAGTATCAGAAGTCTTATTTCATTTCTATTAATTTGCATAGATCTCTTTCATCTTTAATAAGCATTGGAAATTTGAAATCTGTTATACCAGTATTTGTCTATGAAAGCATTTTTCTCACAACAATTAGCTAAAGAATCTATAAATTCACTCTAATTACCTAAAAGAGGCTGTTATTTGGTCACATCAATTTCGCTACTCCTGTAGTATGTGAACCAAGATGGCGGACACTGGAACGTAGTATGTGTACCAGGTTAGGGTTGTGTACAAATACTATGGGAGTCACTTGGCTCGCCGCCGAACTCGTAATAGAACTAAAATATGGAAAATGGGAATGAAATTATGGCTCAACCCTATCCTGGTACACATACTACGTTCCGGTGCCTGTCATTTTGGTTCACATACGACGGGAGTACCTCAACTTCAGCGTCTCTCTAATGACTTTTTTTTCATTTCAGGTGAAATGTTTTAAATCTTCAGTTGAACTTCTGACAGTCTTGGATGAAGAAGGAAATCTAGAAGGTGAAAAGAAAAAAATTGAATAGTTTGGAGTTTAGCTTGTTTTCACTGGTGTCGAAGCCAGAGTCCTTTCTTCAAACACCTCAGTGGATGAATTTGATAAAATTGATTGTTGCAAATTGCAATTAGGCCTTAGTCTAAATCTGACATGCTTTCTATTTTCAAACCATTCAGAGTCAAAATTTTGAAGCGAAATTTTCAATTTCAATTCAATTTTTACTTCCAATGGTGACAAAAACTCGAAAAATATTAAAGTTGCTACACATTCGTAATAAGGAACTGACAAGGCTCGCAAGCGAAGAAATTTGATATTCCCAGTGTATAATGCTTTCGTTCTGGGTGAAAAATGAGAATTCTTTTACAACCTGGGGTTGAGAGCAGAGTCAATTTTAAATTTTCTGCGACCAATCAGGGCTGTGGTTATGAAGTTCACATGTTTCTACTAATATTTGAGTCCTGAGTTGAAATTTTTTAAACATTGCGACCAAAACATAATAGCTTTTGAACAAGGCTCTGCTCAATTGCCATGTAGCGGGAAGTAGCATATTTTTGGGCGTTCCACGAGTATGTGTACCAATATGGAGGTAACTAGTTTTGTTTGCCTATTTTACATCAAGTTGTGTAAAGGGACTGAAAGTTATGGGCAGGGGGTATATTCACTTGGCCGACATATACAGTTCCGAACTCGTAATAGAACTAAAATAAGGAAACTCGGATTAATAATATTATGCTCTAACCTTAACCTGGTACATTTACTACAGGAGTACCTATTTTGGAACATAAGAAATCCTTAATTCATTCTTATATTTAGTGTTTCAGAGTCTTGAAGTTCTCTGGTCTTCACTGGAAGAATGGATGATGGTATTAAAAAAGGAGATTGAAGAAGCTAGTTGCAAAGGTAGGAAATATTTAGAACAGTGTTTCCCTACCAGAGACACATGGCCCGCCAAAGAGAGCACAAAGCCTTTGAGGGCGGCCAACAGTGATTTAACTTTACACTTTACAAGATAAACCCCTTGTTTCATTACTGAATAAGGTTATTTCACAGAGTGTTTTCACTTTCTTTTGCATGAATTGTTTGAAAATAATGGGATTTGGAATCTACCAATCAAAATAACACTATAAAAACCACTGATAAACAAGGGAGTGCTAAATGCCATGCTACGAACCAGGGTTGGGAACCACCGGAAGATTTAGCACTGTGATTTTCTATTTTTATTTTGTTCCTCCCTTTTTATTCATAAAAACTCTCTTTCTGTTATTTATTTAATCTATAAAGTATATTATCTATAACTGGACCTCTCAGAAAAGTACGGTAATTGCCATCTCCCGGTTTTTAAATGTGTCACGATGATACCAAATAAATAAACAATTCCGGAGTCTAGGGCAGGGGTTCCCAAGCTTTTCTCAGGACGACCCCGAAGACAACTTTCAAGTGTCCAGTTCGACCCCAGGTCAATATATATATTTTTCATGAAACTTTAGAGCTTCTTTCACTGGACTTTTGAGTTTGGTCATGTGGTGGTAATAAGTAAAATAAGCTAAAACCAACCAGTGATGTCACAATAAACACCTACATTTTTCAATAACAAAAGCATAGAGTGATGCCTATGGGCCTGTTTTAAATTGAGCCCTGGTACAAACTGCTAAATTTAACATGGTTTGTCAAATCTTAGGTGAGTTGTACATCCATCCTCTACCATACCTCAGCGTCCCCACCGACCCCATGACCTGGTTGCGACCCTACCTATTTATCACTCCGACCCAATTTGGGGTCGCGACCCCTGGTTTGGGAACCGCTGGTCTAGGGAGTTTGATATTACACCTGGGCTCTGTCTCCAATATCGATAATAACTTGCCAAACTTGTTGATGATGGCTAATGATGCCTCGTTGAGTAATTTGCGTCACTCGCTAGTTTTTTCTGTTGCTGTGAGCATCTATGTTTTGTGTTATGCTGGTGTAATAAAGAAGTGTAAGCGTATTCAGTTGAACCCTTTTTCTATAATAGCTTGGGTGTAGAACTTAACATATAACCAAGACATTATTAACAGAACTTAAGCATTTTAATACAATCTTATCATTTTAGACCAGGGGTGCACAACATGGGGCACGCGGGCCAAATTTGGCACGCCATACGCTCAAACGTGGCACGCAAACGGTTTTGTAAAATAAAAATTATTTATGATATACATTAAAATATCACGTTTATATCAAAATCAGCAGTTTTTCAGGACATTGAATTGTTTCAAAATCCGTTAATATGTATTATTATTGAAATTTGTTTGTTTTGCGGGAGTTAATTTACAAAACCACAATTGTACGTGGCACGCGACAAGATTATTTGGAAAAATTTGGCACGTATCCTAATTTGAGTTGTGCACCCCTGTTTTAGACAACACAACTGAAGATAATTCAGACAATTCTCCTGAATCTACCACTGTGTCAACAGAGAGAAACATTCTATCAATGACCCATGACAGAATCTGTGCAATTGTGGAAGGTTTTTATCTCTGCATGCAATGTTTGAACCATGAAAAGGAGTAAGTGTACATTTCGAATTTTGCTCAACATTTTTACTTGTCTTTCTCTCTGAAAAAGGCTTTGTTGTATAAAGCAGGGGTTGGCAACCTACGGCCGTAATATAATCCGGCCCGCGACGCTTCACTAAATTATACCAAAATAGCTGTTTTGATTCTTTACGTAAAAGAATTTAGTGCGAGACAAGTGTAGACTAAACTATATTATAATCTAACAAGTATAAAGTTCACACATACTCGTTGAATGAGCCTATAATTTAATTATAATTAGACAAATGGCATCAAAACGCGGAAAAGTTGATGCTAAGTGCAAAGGGTTCAGTGCAAAGGGTTCAATGGCGCTGAAAATATTCAGATGGAATTTTTTGAGAGGCATTGCAATGAGGAAATAAATCTATATTCTATTCGAGAGATCACTGCATTGTATCACTGTATTTTTAATATAAAAGTACCATCCGTTCGGTTTTCCACTTTCTAAAAATATGTGCGGCCCGCCAATGACTTGCAACCCTTAAATTCGGCCCACAAGCGACAAAAGGTTGCCGACCCCTGGTACAGAGGGCTACCATCCTATTTTTACGATGGCTACACACCTTGTGTAGCTACCCTAAAAATGAATTTTGTTGTCTGTATGGCTTCCTTATCTGGGGAAGGCCATGAAATGGTGATTGGAACCATATATCCATCCCTATTACTGACCTACTGTCTATACTGGGGCAACATACGGCCCCCGACGAGATTTTGAGCGGCCCGCTGACTGTATCCAACCACACTCTGTAATGTGGACGACGCATCATTCATGGAAGTTGCTGATGAATAAATAAACAATTGCCTTAGTAAACAAACAATTGCGTTAGCACACTTGTTAAACAAACAATATAAGGTCAGAGCAAAGAGCGTCGTACACATTCCCCACTACTGTTATCAGTTATATTTGGAATCTAAATATAAAAAGATTTTAGAAATTAGGATTTATATCAAGTTTTATTCAACCATGTAATATCCTGAAAAACGTGAAGTTGACAGAGAGTGTCGAGCATTTAACAAAGATTGAATATCGAAGTATTTTTTGTAAAAATTCGGCCCGCCGAGGACTTATTTTTTCACATCTGGCTCGCCGACTAGAGAAGTTGCCTACGAGATACATAGACTATTATGCTTATTTTCATATACTTGTCTTGTCTATACATTTATCCAAATATCACACTATCTTTTCAGTTCGACTCCTGTTCGCTTCGAAGACTTTGTCACTCGCCATCACTCGGTGATCAACTATCTCATTGAAAAAGATAACAAGATTATATTTAAGGTGAGATAATAAATTTTAGTCGAATACAACTATTTTTCCATGGCGCACCTTTTGAGAATTGCTGGTTTAAGTACTAGACCAGAGTGTGATATAAGATACCGTATTTATTCGCAAATACGCCGAGTTTAAAACTCAAAAAAAAAAAGTTGCCCAACTGAGGGATCGTCTTATTCGCGCATGACTCAGATTGCACCAAAAAATCGGCTCCTTTGCGCATCGAGACTTTGATCACGTAACGAAATGATGACTTGCCGGTAATTGCAACAGCTACAAACCATGCTTAATTCTCACGATAAAGAGCGTGCACGCACACACGAACGCTTGTCTAGGTGTGATTGTCTGATCATAAACGTGACGGCTTGTATTTGATTAAATTTGATTGTATCTTTTGCATAAGAGCAACAGCATTGATCTACCAGCCGTCTCGTGGTCAAAACGTTATCATTTGTGCACAAGTAAGAATCAGATAGAAGTTTCAGGTAGAATAATACTCACAGAATTAATTCTTAACAATAAAACTGTAATTTCAATCATTTTGAACAACCATTTACGGTAACTGAAAGGTTGAAATAACATATGAATATGGTGTGATAAATACTGTGCTGTACGTCCATGGGTTAGGCAACAGCTGTGTTTTCCGTTTTTTCCTGAATCAGCAAAACCGAAAGGTCATAAATCAATCACTTTATTTCGGGTAGCCGTTTTCTTTCTGAAGGGCAGGGAGTGCTTCATTGCACCGGCCACATTTTTGTTTTTAGGATTAAGACAAATAACAGCTGGTATACAAAGTCAATTAATAATCGGCAGACACTTTGGTATACATTATAAAATATATCAGCCCATATATGAAGCTCACACAAATCATGTTTGAAAAGACTTGCGAAAAATAACCAAATTTATTGCCGTGTCCGCTCAGGATATCTCGACTACCTTAATATAAAATAATGATTGTAAAATATTTTCAATCAAAAATGTCCTCATGTTATACCTTTGGTACTCCAAGTCGGTGCTGATTTAATTCCTTTCATGTTGGCAGTAATTTAGTTGTGCCGCAAAGTGCTGTCTTCCATTACAATAAAACAGAAAATATAATAATCGAAAATTGTTTTAATCAAAATGTGGACAGCGGCGCTAGAATGTGTGTGCCATATACAAGAAGGTAGCGAATCGCGATATTTGAATACTAAATTTGAATTGAACATCATTGACTGTAATAGATGCGTGCGCCGTGTTACGATTTGTGGAAACGGCGTATATGCGAATTTTTATAAATTCACTATTTTGAAGCTGTTATTAGGGAGTTCGGCTCATCCGCGTGATAGACGTATAGTCGAGAAAATACGGTAGGCGATATTGAACTAGAAAGCTTCTTTCAAGAATTATTATATTTCTATACATCAGGGATTCTCAACCTGGGGTTCGCGAGAATATTTCCAGGGGTACTTGGATGGCAGTCGAGTTTTTGTGTGTGTTTTTTTTTTCAACATCCTTTAACAAAGGAAAACTAAGTAACTACAGGATGAAAATGCATGCCAATTGAATCTCAGCGTAGATTTTGCCTGATCTAGCGTTGTTGTGATTGTGACGGAACAATGTGAATTGCACAGCTCTTCAGCCAAACTGTGAAATCTCAAAAGACAATGTGATGCGAGCATTGCAGAAAGTGATATGCATCGAAACTTGAGAGAGATCCCAGAAATTCATTAGTTAGGTGGATGGCAAGGACAATAACATCAACATGAATATTTAATTTAGTTACAGCAGTTGGTCAATAAATTGTCGTTGCAACAAGTTGTTAGTCAATATTATCACAATTTTGTTTGGTGTCTGATTACTGGGGGTTCACGTTGATTGTTTTGTGACTCGGGGGGTATTTAACAGAAAAAAGGTTGAGAACCCCTGCTATGCATTGTCAGATATCTGTCTGCTTGTACAGTCTTGCTTGGAGCAAAGAGCGTGAATAAGCGTCATGTAGAATAAAAAAAATCACAGTTGTACAATATATTACTAAAATAAACAATATTTCCTGTTTTCAGCATTTCAGTTTTCTTCTGAATTGTCCGACTATTATGTCACAATTTCTTTCTGTTATTAAAAAACGTCCGTTCAACGAACGTTACGAATGGTTTTATGAGAATCTTCACTCTAAGAGAATCAAAGAGGCAGAGCAACGAATACGAGCTAACATGGGACTACCTGAAGCTTTGAAGGTTGGCTCATGAAATGCTAAGGGTTTCATTTTTTTTTTTCTGTGGCACATCGTGCTTAGCGTTAGGAATATGCTCGCCACTGCACCTTCGCAGGTTTGAGACAAGGCTGCGTAGGGTGGTTCTCGTAACCACTGGTCGGTTATGGTTTCCTCCACCATCAAGTCCATGTTCCAGAAAAAACAAATAACTGATTAACTAATTCCATACCGAACGAGAGGTCGTAGTTCGCCATATGATTGAGCCGTCTTATCGACTTTCCGTTCCCGTGGTATAAATACTATCATGTCCTTGGGGAGGAAAGTCGATAACTCGGCTTAAACATATGGCGAACCACGGCCTCTCATCCAGTTACTAGTTCATATCGGTATGGGGTTAGTTGGCCAGGTATTTGTTTCAGATGCATGATGGACAAACTTAATTTCATGTTGTACATTCACTCCTTAATAGTTAGATTCAGCATCTGTCGCAGATGTAAACTCACAATTATGCCTAAAATTTCATTAGAAACCTCGATGTCCGTCGTTGCGTGAGAATTAGCACTTGTGAGTTGTGAATAAAATGGAACATGCTTTAATTTAGATTTATTAAGAAGAAACGCCACGTTGCTACTTAATTTTCAGTATTTTAGGAATTTTTTAAAGGAGCCTTTCGACTGTTCGTTAAAAATATCGACTCATATCTTATTGAATAACAATGCAAAATTGACTTGATTAACATTGAATTTAGAGTAATTTTACATTTCATTCCCGGTCTTATCTTGCAACAGATTCGTCGCAGTCATGTTTTTGAAGACAGTTGTGAGGCACTGGAGAAAGAATCTGCTGATTCATTGAAGTATTACATCAGCGTTTTATTTCAAGATGAAGAAGGAATGGTTTGTTGTTTGTTATTTTTTTAGGCTTCGCTTTGAAAAAGGCTTCAAAAAAGCATCTATGATGCATATGTCATTAATTACTATTTACTGATGGAACTGTTATTAAGCTTGCACATTCCGAGATGCTAATGATTTGAGTTTGAGTTATTTAGCTTGCAATACGGCGCTCCAGAAGTACGTATACCAATATTGGGGTGACTAATTTGGTTCGCCTACTTTACATCAAGTTGTGTAAAGGGACTGAAACTTATGGGCAGGGGGTATATTCACTTTGCCAACACAGACAGTCCCTCAGAACTCGTAATAGAACTAAACTAAGGAAAATTGGAATAAAATTACGCTCTAACCCTAACCTGGTACACACACTATGAGATTACCTGCAATGCAACAGTTAAAACAAACATAACGAGCACTATGCCTGATGTCTTTCTTATGAAACTCTGGGTTTTCCTATTTAAGCGCTGGATTGAGTCATAATTTCTTTCAACCTGGTGTTGGGTGCCAGATTCAGAGTCAAAATATTTGTTGAGTCTGAGTCGTTCCAGAAGTACGTGTACCAATATTGGGGTAACTAATTTGGTTCGCCTACTTTACATCAACTTGTGTAAAGGGACTGAAACTTATGGGCAGGGGGTATATTCACTTTGCCAACACAGACAGTCCCTCAGAACTCGTAATAGAACTAAACTAAGGAAAATCGTAATAAAATTATGTCCTAACCCTAACCTGGTACACACACTACGGAAGTACCTGCAGTGCAACAGTGAGAACATACATAAAGAGCACTATGCCTGATGTCTTTGTTATGAAACTCTGGGTTTTCCTATTTTAGCGCTGGATCGAGTCAAAATTTTTTTCAACCTGGTGTTGGGTACCAGATTCAGAGTCAGAATATTTGTTGAGTCTGAGTCGTTCTTTAAAAGGCGCGGAGTTTGTGGTCAGATGTAGATTTTCTCAGACCTTGCTCACCAGTTGTCATCGTTTACCCTTTTATCATTGTTGTTACACAGGGGGCTGGAGTTCTTCGTGAATGGTTTGACGTTTTATCAAATGAAATCTGCAATCCAGAGTACGCTCTCTTTACTCAATCTGATGACGGTTCAACATTTCAACCTAATTGTAATTCAGCCATCAATCCTGATCATCTCAATTATTTTAGGTAATTCGTAGTTTTTGATTTTTTGGAAAAAATTTGCTTAAATCATGCCAATGATCTTCACCCTATGCCAGCATAGGCTCAATGTCCTACAGCAGGGCTACTCAACTTATTTCACCAAAGGTCCGTTTACGAAACTTTCAAAATTACTGGGGTTCGGACATTACAGGAAATTTATTTCATTAAATAAACGAAACTTCAAATGCAATAATAAATTAAATACAAGAGCAATGAATGGCTCGCAAATATGGACACAAATGTCGCACATCGGTACCAGTACGACAAACTGTATAGCTGTGTATTTGAATTGTATCAAAATCATTTAAAACTAAAACGATGCTTATGCTGCCAAAATAAACAAGCAGACGCGATCCAAATTGAATGGTCGAAAGGTCTGGATTCGGACTGCGGTCCGCCAGTTGAGTAGCCCTGTTCTACAGTTTTCTCCCAATTTCACCATTTTTTTTTTATCTCAGATGTTCTCATGTATACAGTTTTTTCTTATTTTTATCGAGGTATCCAAATTTTCTTCTCAGTTTTACAGCCCTTATTTACTGGGTTTTCTCCCAATTTTCTGGTTTTTACTGGTTTTATCCAGATTTATGTGAGTTTAACTGGTCATACCTTGTTTATATTTCTTAGTTTTTTTTTACCAATTTTATTCTGCTTATCCCCACTAGTTATACCATTTTATTCCAGTTTTACACGTGCATCCTGGGCTTAGCACTTTATCACGAACAACTTTTCTCATTTTTTTACTGAGCGTATCGATTTTAGAAGCCTTATTTACAGACACTGTTCATATCCCGGGTTTTCTCTCATTTCTTGTTTTTTCTCAGTTTTACAGGCCGCATCCTGGGCCTAGCACTTTATCACAAACAACTTGTGAATGTTTATTTTACCCGTTCTTTCTACAAACACATTCTCGGAATCCCTGTCGACTACACCGACGTGGCTTCTATCGATCCTGAATATGCAAAGAACCTACAATGGATATTGGACAACGATATCACAGATCTTGGTAAGGTTCAATTACCAATATTCAAACTAACAGTGTTTTCACCATATATCCTTGCACATAAGCCGAAAAAGGTTGCCAAACTAAGAGGGTCGTCGGCTCATACATGCATATCTCTGATCGAGCTGAAGGGGTCAGCTTATATGCACATAACTCTGATTACACTCCAATGAAATGACAGTGTGATAATTTCAACAGATACTGCTCGAATCATGCTCATCATGAGTTCTCATGATAACACCGTGCGCACACACATACGACGCAGCGATTGTTACGACAGACTGGTATTTGAATAATACAGCATTCTTGCTTTATATGCATACGGATCCACTGCACACAAGCATAGGAGAAGGATAAGTTCCTTGGAAAGCCAATCAATAGAGAAAAAAATTGCTGCAATCAAATAAAGCTCAAATCGTTAATGAATATTTTCGTTTCTCTTGGGAACAACCCGCTGATGTGGTGGATGAATATATTGCAAAATATTCCTATCTTGCGGCGCGAGAACTACTTAAAAGTTTTTAAATTCTCAATTTTCAGGCTTGGATTTGACTTTTATTGTGGAGACAGACGTTTTCGGTTCGATGCAAGAGATTGAGTTGAAAGCAGATGGGGCAAATATTCTAGTTACCGAGGTTAGTTGTCTCTAGTAGGGATTAACTTTTGAATATTTCTTTTTCCCAAATTTGATTCGAAGTCACTGTTTTGGACTCCAATAGTGACAATGTAAATCAAAATGTTTGACAGAAACTCAAAAGCAGACAAATAAAACAGACTGAAATTTTTGAGGTCTTACAACAATATTTGGTCTAAACAGCTTCTTACATGGCTTGAATAATATTTTTGTTATAAAGATTTAGTTTTGTCGGATTCAGGAGTTGGATTGGAATCGGAATTTCCTTAATTGTGAATTTGGGAGTGAACATTTTATCTGGCCATTGAATCGGAACCTTGTATATATTCCCTCAACTTCATAAGCCTTTTCGAAATGTTCAACCACATTACTCTATGCAAATTTTAAAAATAAAAGTATTATTTTCAGAAAAACAAAGCGGATTATGTTCAACTTGTCACAGAACTTCGATAACTTCGAACTTCTTGTCACAGAAAGCCGATAATCACCATATGATTAGGTCATCTTATCATCCATTTGCCTGGGATACCCTATCCTATCCGACATAAAATATCCCAGCTAACCTTTTAACCATTCTCAGAAGCTATTTTGAGTAAGATTTTGTATTTTAGAGTCTTTGATTCAGATATTCACGGAATCAGAATTAGAACTCCTACTTTCTGGGTTATCAGAGATTGATGTGAAGGATTGGAAAAACAGCACAAAATACTCTGGAGGGTATAGTGAAGAACATAAGGTAGAATAAATATGGAAATCTCTGAGATGTGCCGCATTGTGCTAAGTATTAGGAATACGTTTGCCATTGTACCTCTGATTACCCGAAGGTTCCCAGGAGAGTTGTTTCGATTTAGTGACCGTATGGTCCTTCCAACCTCCTATCAATTCCGTTGTTAGTCGATTTATTCTTCTTTTACTTATTGAATGTTGTTGTTTGTGTTTGATTTGTTGGCTAATGACTGGATGATGAATAAACTTCTATCTATCTTTCTATCTAAAATCCCATGCGGGGGGATTGATGGACTCCTCGTTGTCGTAGGGTGGTTTACGTAGCCGCTGGTCGGTTAGGGCTTCCTCTACATTCAAGTCCATGCTTGCGAAACAAATTACTAACTAATCCCATATCCGACATGGACTGGTAACGAGGAGGCCGTGGACGAATGAGAGGTCGTGTTTTGCCACACGGTTAAGCCGTCTTAATTTGTAAATCCGAAGCTATTCTAATAGTTGACAAACTTTCCTGATCAACGACCCCCTCTCCAACGAGTTTCAACACTCCATGACTTACTGCAATTTAATAAAAAATAGCTAGTTTTGCTTTTTAAACTTATCAATCAATCGCTTTGATGATAAAAATGGGGGCTCCCGAAGTATGCGAACCAAGATGGCGTACATCGGAATGTAATATGTGTACTAGGTTAGGGTTAGGCCATAATTTTAGGTATAAATACTACGGGAGGCTCTTGGCTAGTCTTCGAACTGATAATAGGACTAAAATAAGGAAAATTGGAAAAATATTATGGCCTAACCCTAACCTGTTACCCATGTTACGTTCCGATGTCCGCCATCTTGGTACGCATACTTCGGGAGCACCTAAAAATCTAATAAAAGTAATTAAAAATTAAGTCCATACTGTGAGAGAATTAAAAAAAATCACAGTCAATTTACTTTAAATAAATATGGTCAATGCAAATAGTACCTATAAAGGCCCATGAAAACCTGCCTCATGGCTTCCAATGCCAAGCAAGTGCCCAGTTATGAAACACTGTTTTATACCAGTCAATTTACTTCATGCAGGTTATCCAATGGTTTTGGAAATCAGTGGATTCCATGTCTAATGATGACAGAACCCACTTGCTGCAATTCTCCACTGGATGTTGCCGCGTTCCGCATCGGGGATTTTCCCAGCTTCAATCAGCATCTGGTGGCAAAGAAACGTTTGTTATCACATATCTTCCTTATCAAGATAATGATGAATTACCGACTGCAAGCACTTGGTGAGATTAGTAATAGTATCTTAGAAATGGTTCCATTACATTTGAACCCATGGCAATTGCACCTGTATGCTATTGCACCTATGGAATTTTTTTTGTTTTTCGGATAGTTGAACCCATACTAACCCTAACCCTGGGTTTTAGCACCCGCATATAGATTGAACCCGTGGATATACACATGGGTTCAAATGTACGGTCACCCTTAGAAATATATGAAAGGTAATTAGTGCATGGTGTTTTGTTATTTTCGTTGCCAAGCTAAGGAGTGCTCAGACCCCCCTCAGCATTTTTGTTATCTGCAGTTTGTGTGTTAGAAAACAATGCAAGTCACTAAGGAGGGAATGAATAAAATCAGTAATGTATCTATATTAATACATTATATATTGGATTGAATCCTGGATCTCTTTTTACGTATATACTGACCACGAAAAACCTCAGCGTCTCTGTTCCCACCAGTATTGTGTGATAATAACAAAAAAAAATGTTTTCAGTCCTTACCTAAGCCATGGAAGCACTTGCTTTTTGTTCTTCTTGACAGGCGACGCGGCACATGTTGCTGAGAATTAGGAATACACTTGTCATCGCACTGCTGATTTCTCAATCTAGACTTGCAATTAGGCAGTATTATGTGCTTACATGGATAGGTCCTAGACCAGGGGTTTCCAAGCTTTTTTCAGGGCGACCCCAAACACAACTTTCAAGTGTCCAGTGCGACCCCAGGTCAATATATATATTTTTCATGAAACTTTAGACTTCAGAGCTTCTTTCACTGGACTTTTGAGTTTGGTCATGTAGTGGTATTAAGTAAAATAAGCTACAACAAAACAGTGATGTCACAATAAGCACCTACATTTTTATAGCATAAGCATGGAGCGATGCCTATGGGCGTGTTTTACAGTAAGTCATGCTACAAACTGCTAAATTTAACATGGTTTGTCAATTCTTAGATGATTTGTACATCCATCTTCTACCATACCTCAGCAACCCCACCTAAATATCACCCCGACCCAATTTGAGGTCGCGACCCTGGTTAGGGAACCCCTGTCCTAGACCTAGAGCGCTAAGTAGAACCATTTTGCTAAATTGTTGGTATTTGGGTTGGAAGTGGGAAAATCATGTTCTTTCGCAACTAATCTTATAACTAGGGCTGGGCATTTTGGAATACCTGATGATTTTTTAGAATCGAATCGAATATATTTTTCGAATCGAATCTCGAATACTTGGGAGAGAAACAAGATGGCGGCGATTCGAAATTTCGCTCTGAACAGATTCGAATAATTTACTACTCGATTCGAAATGCCCAGCCCTAGTTATAACCATTTGATATCAAATTGTCATTACCTGAAGATTTAATAAGTGTTTCAGTCCTACCGTACCAACCTCCATTTACCATCTGGTGCACAGTTTGGCAGTTGACTTTTGTGTTCGTCTCTTTGAGCATTGCTCTTTAGATTGCACCCTTATTAACACAGAATGTAATTATTTTAGCATAAACATGTTGAAGTTACCTGAGTATCCAAGTTTCGAATTCCTTGACGAAAAATTGAAGATTGCGGTTCGTTGCGGAAGTCAAGGATATGCCAAGACATGATGAAGCGAAGGAATCAATCTTTCAAAGTTCCAAATAAATATTAGCTATTTTGTTCCAAAAATGGGTGCTTTCGTAGTATGTGTACCAAGATGGCGCACAACCTGAACGTAGTATGTCTACCAGGTTAGGGTTATCAGGTTGTGCGCCATCTTGGTACACATACTACGGGAGCGCTCGAAAATGTTCAACCTTTTTACTTCCCTTTCTGCCTTTGTTCGTAGTGGTTCACACGCACAACCTATTCCCTTATTGGACACGTTTAGTGGCCATAACGATCATTTCAAAATTTTATTGTTATTGTTATTTGTCTTCGTCTCCATTTTTAAAAAATCGCTTTTCTCTTCGAATACTGGACCAATTGCTTTGATATTTTCAGTGGTTTAAGATAAAATTTTTCTCTAGAAGGCTATTACTTTTTTTTCCCGCTATGACGTCATCAAAATTATTGCCACTGGGTGGCGCTATGTGTCCATGTATTTGAGCATAGCTCTCTTGTTTCTATTATCCTTATATCTTGCTATTTTCATATATTCCTACACTCTCGCTCAATGGCTTGCGCAACGCAAGGTTGCAAGAGGTAACAGGTGTGTGTCAGGGGCATCAGCGCAGCATTTGATTGTTTTCATGCCCGACTAGAGGTCTTACAGACGACATATTGTTTGAGTCATATTTTTTACTCTAAATATATGGTAACTTGTGCTTCACTTTCTTATACATAAACTCATCTTTTTACCTTATATTTTAACCAGAACAACTTTTTATCTTAAATCTGCATTCTCTGTATTTGGAAGTAGTTTGTGGAATTTTATTTGTTGTAGTTTGCACAATTTAATTGAAATATATGCAATTATTTGAATACATATACTATTATATGAATTTTCCTGGTCGTTACATCTGTACATTATTAAGATATTCTTTATTTCAAATTCGAGCTAGAGAGCCGGAAAGTTTTATTGGAGCTGCAGCCATGCTTACCATATTAAATGGAGCTGCCAGACATTTTAGTGGCTCCAACTTATGATATATTTTTATTCAACGTTCATCAAGGACATGTACAAGCAGACTTTGATTATTTTTATTCTAATTGCATGCCCATGCATATTAGACAAATAACTGGCTAACTAATCCCATACCCGACATGGACTGGTAACCCGACGAGAGGCTGTGGTTCGCCATATGATTATGACGTCTTAATGACTTTCCTTTCGCCGGGTCGGTTGCCAGTCCATATCAGGCATGGGGTTAGTTAGCCAGTTATTTTTTTTCAGATGCATGGACTTCATTGTGGATGAAGCCGTAACTGACCAGCGATTACGTGAACCACCCTACGTCTGCGAGGAGTCCAGCAACCCCTCGATATGCCACAATGCCAAGCCTGTTACTAAAACTTGAGCCGTAGACCAATGGTTATTACATTCGATACTTGAAGATAGCCATTTTATTTAGATTGCTCAAATTAATGGTAACTTGATCAATGACTCCCCAGCATTGATGGGAAGCCTGATTAAAACTGGATTGAATATTCAGTTAATATTCAAAGTCTCTTATTATATTCAGTAATTCGAGGTCCCGATCGTTTGCATTATTTGAGTCACAGTAGCTATGAGTTCATTTCCTGATTCAATGGCGTGACTGTGTGTGGTTGATCCCAGATATCAATTATGATAAAATCAGGCTTGAAGCTGGTAATATAAAGAATAATTATCGATAGATTATAGATAACCTAAATTTAACACAAATTCGAAATTTCATGAGAAAATGAATGGAGATAGTTTCATGCATCATGCTGATAAGAACCTATCTGGCTTAATTCGTCATAAATACAATTATAATGATAACGATAAGGTGTGACTTTATGACAGTTACTTCGTGAGCTTCAGGTTAAGGCATCTTTCGGTAGCTTAGCAAAAAAAGCACGCACATAAGTGTTGATAAATTTCATGAAAGCCAACAGGAAGAATTCTCAAATTACGACAGTTGTACATTTATTTCTCTTCAAACTAGGCTTTGTACAAGCTACCACTGATATCCAGGAATGTGTCAGAAACTACTGTGGTTTGAAGGGACTAAAATCTGTTTGGTTTAATATTTTCTACACAATTTTCTACACTCAGGGTAAGGTGGTTTATATTCGGGATGATTTGTAACCTGCGATGCCAACTTAGTTTAAGTCCAAGAACCTTGAGTTTTATTGCTTAATTACCAACTTTGCTGCTCCGGGATTTCCCTCCCCCAGTAAAAATGTTTGATTATATTTTATATCTAGAAATTTGGGCGCTCCATAAGTGTGTGTACTAATGTGAGGGAAACTAATTTTGTTCGCCTATTTTACATCAGGCTGTGTAAAGGGACTATTTACTTGGCTAACACAGACAGTCCCCGAACTCGTAATAGAACTAAAATAAGGAAAATCGGAATGAAAATTATGGTCAAACCGGAGTATCGAAATTTGTAAATGATTGATTTTTACTGGTTAATAGAATAAACTTGCCTTGATTATTATCTTCCTTTAAGGTCTATGTGTAAAAATATTCGAGAAAAAAAACAGCTCTAGCTTATTAGAATTATTAGACTGGACGATCAACTTCGGGAATCACCGCTTTCTTTGATAATTTATTCGATTTTATTTAGTTTGCTTGATTCCATGACTGCTTAGCATTGCAAGGAAGTCAAGAATGTCCATTAATTGACTTTTGCCTTTGATCATATCTGTATAACTCAGAGATTCTCAACCTTCTTTCCGTCAAGTACTCCCTGAGTCACGAGACAATCAACGCGAACCCCCGGTAATCAGACACCGAACAAAGTTGTGATATACTAATATATTGACTAACAATTTGTTGTAGTACCAATTTATTGACCATATGTAACTAGATTAAATTGTCTTGTTGATATTACTGCCCTTGTCGTCTGCCTAACTAATGAGTTTTTTAAAATATCTCCCAAGTTACAATAAGCATAATCACTTCTCCAATGCTCGCAGCACGCTGTCTTTAGAGATTTCACAGTCCGTACGCAAAGTCTCGAATTTCACATTGTTTCATCACAATCACAACAACGCTAGATCATGTAAAATCTACGTTTCAATGGACCCGCATTTTACCCTGGTATTAATAGAGGATATTAAAAAACAGCAACATACAAAAACTCGACTGTCATCCAAGTACCCCTGGAAATCTTCTTGTGAACCCCTCGGGGTTCGCGAACCCCTGGTTGAGAACCCCTGGTATAACTGTTTAATTATTATTTTCATATATCGAGTAATTTGAGCTACCATTCGTTTGTAATATATCAGCGGATATACCGAAGCACATTAGCTATGAGTTCATTTCCTGGTTTAATGGCGTTGCTGTGTGTGGTTGATTCCAGATATTAGTTATAATAAATCAGGTCTGGATATGATATTATAAAGCATGGATTTTGGTAGAACATAGATAACTCAAGTTTAACGCAAATTTGAATTTTTATGAGAAAATGAAAGAGATAGCTTCATGCATCATGTTTATAAGAATCTATCTAGCTTGATTCGTCATAAATACAATTGTAATGATATTATGACTAAATAACACAAGCTGTGATAAGGTGTGGCTTTATGACAGTTACTTAGTGAGCTTCAGGTTGAGGAAGCTTATGCTAGAGTAGAGCAAAAGCATTTGCGTAAGTGCTGAAGTACTGATAATTTTCGTTGAGACCAACGGAGTATTTTTAAAATACGACGGTTTTCATAGATTTCTCTATTAACAAGGCTCTCAGCCAGCTGCCACTGATATCTAAAAATATGTTAGCAGCTAAGAGCGTAACCGGCCCCTAATTTTTGAAAAAGCCAATTTTTTTGTTTATATTGACGTAATACGATGCTTACTCGTGATTTTTGCTCCGAGCACGGCTAGGTAAAAGAGTCCCTAATATCTACCTATATCAGGGATGGCGAACCTTTTTCAATGAATGGGTCAAAAATTATATTTTCATCACGGAACGGAAGAGTGTGGGTCACAGATATTTAATCAGTACTTGATTCTATGAAAAACTTGCTTCTGCATATTATCTTGCAAATCTTATACCTAAGCTTCAGTTGGTGTTGCATAGTTTCGTGTACAAAAACACACTTATGAATTACCCAAAAGCGTTTAGGATGATGAGGCAGATTATTCCACGCCGCTAAAGAGTTTGGAGAGAATTCCACTCTGATGGAGTTATATTTCCCGATCGGCTTTCAACCACATTTGGGCACTTTCACACTGCCCCATTGTTATTTCAAATTTCTAAATCTTTATTTTGGGTCTAAAAGATTTTGTTTTCTCAACGGCATTGCAGGCGAGAAACTAATAAATGCAAAGTAGCATTTAGTTTTCGTATACCCCCCAATAACAGTCTGCAGTGCCTTTTGGTTCATGTTTTTCCGAAGAGGATGAACAGATCAATTTAATTGTTTTGTCATAAACGATGCCACAGCCACTAGGTGCATAACGGTATACATGAGTGAACATGCGCGTCCAAGATTAGGAGTTTTGAAAAAACCGACCCGGAAATTAAAACTGAGCGTTAGGAGGCCCTGCTTCCCAACTGACGGTACATTATACCAGTTTACTTATTATTAAATTTAATTAGAGTCGGTTTTTTTAATTTTATCACTTACATGGTAGTATGTTTTTATTTCATTCGAGCCTTGGCGGGTCACCGGAAAAACGCAGTGGGTCACTTTGTGACCCGCGGGTCAGTGGTTCGCCATCCCTGACCTATATCGTAAAGTTTCTCCCTGCAGACTAACTTCATTGTCGAAGTTATGCCAGTTATATATCATATACGCGCACATTTCGATCTATCTCGGTTGGTTCACTCGTTGAAAGGAATATTGTTAGTAATCCTGGACTCGTCGAGTTTTCAGTAAACCGTGCAATAATTGATTAAAATTGCATATAAAAAATACTGAAAATTTCATAGGGGGACATGACCTTTCTGAAACTAAATTTTTCCGCCGTCCTAATTGAGATAATACAACCTTGGGTGTCGCTGTTTAAAACCAGCTTTGGTAACTTGCTGTTTTTCATCCTCAGTATAAATGCTTGGTCATCTTCCATATCTAGAAATTTGTATATGATTGATTTTTACTGGTTAGAAAAATAAAACTGGACTTGTTATCATCTGCCATTAAGATCTATGTGTAAAAATATCCTAATCTAGATCTGACTTGAACTCTAAGATGAATGCGCAATTCATTTACGATGCAACGGCTGTATTTCATGAATCTCAATGGAAAGAATTCACTCGACTAAAACTAGGTTTCAGCGACACCGAAATAAGAGAAATGGAAGATGGGGAAAAAAGTTTCGCGGAACTCAAACACAAGACAGTTAGAAAGTGGATCGGAGACGATGTGGAAACAGAATATATGCGAAACAAATTGACTTCTCTAAAGCAGGAATATTTCTTCAGCAGATCGGAGTTCAGTTTTTCGAATCCAATGAAAGCACAAGGCGATCTTGTTGGCGAAAAACCAGTTGAAAAACCCAGGTATACATTGGCGAAAAAGAAAGGTATTGCGCTCATCATAAGCAATTCTTTCGATGGCAATGGCAGCAAATTTATGTCTAGAACACCAGGGTCTGACGTAGATTTGGAAAACATGAAGAAATTATGGAACAAAATCATAGGATGTGAGCTTGTAGATGGGAAAGTTCACCGAGATAAAACAGCCGATGAAATGAGGGGTCTGTTGAAAAACGCGGGGGAAGCAAAAGATTACGATTATGCGGTCGTGGTGATAAGTACGCATGGCGGATTTGTGCCAACAGATGAACAGAAAGCCATAGATCCAAAAACCAAGCAAGAAACAACGCTGAAGAAATATGAAGAAGTGCTATATGGAAACGATGGCAGTTACTTAAAAGCGAGTGAAGTTCAAAATAGTTTCTGCAATAAGGAGGCGCAAAGCTTGAGGGATATACCGAAGTTAATCATTCTTCAATACTGTAGGGGGGAAACACTGGATGAAGGGGTTCCCAGAGATGCAACTTTCAAAGTTGAAGAACGTGATTCTACCGATGCTGATTCATATAAGCAGCAGAAAACAGAAGAGTCCTTTCCTGAAAAAGATTCTTTAATGCCCGCATTGTGTGATATCATCACCGTATACGCAACTCATCAAAGCTACATGGCTCTCAGAAATAGGAAAAAGGGCTCCTGGATTATTCAGCACATTTCTGAAGTTTTCCAAAACCACTACAAGACTAAGCACGTCATTGATATGATTACGCTGGTGAATGATTTGATGAAAAACAGGAAAGGAGACTTAGGCAACAACAAAGAATGCAAAGCAATGAGCATCTACGAGTCCAGCCTAACCAAGGATTTCTATTTGTATTAATATATGAATCAGGAATGGTTTACATAATGATCAAGACTTTCACCCTTTATAAATGGATGTCAATATTTTATTAATTCTTATCAATTATCACTATATCTTATGTAATCTAATCTTCATCAATTTATTTCAGATAAGGTTGTAGCGAATGTGGATTGTAACTATGAATTATAATGTTATTTAATTAAACCATACATACTAATAGTATGTTGCATTCTCTGAAATAGGTCACTTAATGTTTCGCGACAGCGATAAAGCCTTCATTCTATGTAGCCGTCTCTGTGAGCGACCAATTTGATGACTTATGTTTCCGGTTCCGTGGAAAGGGCTGAAATATATTGTGCTTGTGATTATTATTCTGTTTTTGACTGCATTAAGAGTTAAGTGTTTTTAATATATCTGTATTTGGATCGCATTGTGAAACTTTCAATATAACAATTGACATTCAATGCATTGTGTGATTTATTGACCTCTAAAGTCCTGATTGCGGCCTTTTGTGGGTTACATTCCATAACGTGTGTTCAGTAACACGGAAATCCATGTCGGGTATAGGATTAGTTAGTTTCAGGCGCATGAACTTGATGGTGGAAGAAGTCGCCCGTGAACCACCCCACGGCGGCGAGGAGTCCAGCAATCCCCTTGCTTATGGTTATCTATCACGGTATTCGAATCTGCAAACGTAGGGTAATTAGAGGTGCGGTGGCGATCGTATTCCTAACGCTTATCACGATGCGCCACACCGCCTGTCAAAACTTCAAAGATACAAAAACCTTGGAATCATTCGATCTATCTTGATACACAGTCTTCTCTGATTCATCATGATAACTTGCATTATTTGTTCATAAAGTGTATTTCGTCTATGGTGGAGTATTAAGCTACTGACTATACTTAATCACAACTTTATTCTTTCCTAAATTAATTATATGTCTGTTTACTTTTTAATTACTAATAAATTCAGATAACTTTACTGTAGATTTTTATATCCTATGTAAACTCATATTATAAATTCATTGCAATTTCTTTAAAATATAATATTTCAAAACACTAAAATTAATTCTGCAATATCATTGTTTTGTCTCATAATGGTCACGCGACATCGCTAATCCGAAACTGCGTCACGACATAAGTGCGCGTATGTTTCTCTATATATCCGATTTCGGTAAATTTTAAGCATAAAAATAAGGCAACAAAAACATATCAGTATCGTTTGGTATTGATTGAGACAAGTAGTTTATAGAACAATTAGCTAAGTTCTTGAAATTTGAAAGAAAAGGTTTGGTCTTTCAAATTTCTAGACGTTATTCGATACGATAAGATTTACGTACCGGTACATGGTAGGTTAGAACTCCGAAGGTCATCTCATATAACCTTTGTGTCAAGTGGAAGCTTTTGGTGGTTCAGCTGCTAAAATCGCACTCACATCAATAATAACAGAGTTCTGAATACTCAACTTCCGAGCTTATAAATAAAATTAGATATTGAAACTTTGGTGTCGCTGCTCGATAACCAATCTTGGTTCTCCGCGGCTTCCCTTCCCCAGTAAAAATGTGTGTTGAATTTTATTTATTTTTTAATTTCGTTTGTTATTTTTTACTGGATGAAAAAAATAAATTTGGCTATGACTATGATAAGATATTTCTAAAAGTAAAATGATAGCTATTAAAGTCATTTCGGCTACTTTGGAAGCTTACGATACTGAAATTTGAGTTTATATATATGTTTACTATAGCGGGATCATTGGCGTATTCATGTAAAATGGCGCCCATGGCAAAGTTTTGAAATGCGTCCCATTGTTGACAGCTTTTGCTGAAATGAGATACTTGAATGTTATTATTTGAATAAAAATACAGGTTTCAATTTTTATAATTTAAAATATTTGACTGAAACATTCTACAATTAGAACTCCTCGCTCCTTTTGTGCCCCTATTCAAACGGCGCCTATGGGACGAGCTATGGCTGCCACACTCCAGATACGCCTCCGAGCGGGATTATGAGTCATCAAGAATGACCAAATTTCGTTAAAAAGCCAGAGCGTAGCGCCAGATGAGAATTTTTAAAGTTTATTATTCGTAGTCTAGTAGTTGTGTGTGCCTCAGGCGATAAGAGTCACAGTTCTTACCACTTCATGGCAGCTCCTACCACGAACGAACCGATGGCGGCTCTTGCCGTGGTTATGGCGCTATTACCGGTGTATTCACAAAGTCATGTAGCCTACTAGATTTTAGTTCATCCTGCGGAATTATATCTACTTAAATCTGAAACCTAACCCCAAATCTCTTAAAAAGTGTAACATAAGAAAAATGTTCTAACTTACTCAATATTTGTCACCATCAGAGACAGCCCTGCTATTACAGCCGTCATGCCGTGGTTACGGCAGCACATTTTTCTCCGCCATTGGTTTGTTTTCAATTTGCTGCCGGGCTAACAGCATCTCGCTATTGGTTTGTGGCAGCTTAAAAGTGAGTCGCCATGGATTTGGCCATAGCCCCCTTGGTTTGGAAATCCCGCCATGATTTTGCGGCAGTTTCGGGCGCCACAAAATACTTAAATCTGCACTTGGGCGACGAATCCGATAGAAATGATCAACTTCGTGGTGTATGGTAAAGATAAACGACTGTTTTTATATATATCATATATGGCCATGGACGGTCCTAACTATACCTCTTTACAAAACAGATCGCGCGACCTATTCAGATTCCAGTTATACAGTTTAAACACGTTGATCTATGATAGTTGAGTTCAATATGAACTTAGAATGAGCGCAGAGTCTCTGGCCCATTGCGGACGTATAGTTTGCAGTGGCGTAAGGCCGGCATGTATATGGTATATAAATATAGACAGAGTTGAAGTGTAAAAGTCACAGAAGCTGGCTAAGAACCAGTGATTGCCCCACACCCCCTACACGGGGTGAACGCCCATCCTTCACCCCCCCCCCCCCCCCCCAACTGAGGATTTCAAATATCTCACTAAAATTTTATTAAAATGAAATATTGAGAAGGTGGCTCATATGCCGAGGAAGATCAGTCAAATACTTAACACATTTCTAAAAGTTACAAATAGTTTTATGACTAATAACAAAATGATTCACCCTCAAGAACCCTCCCCCCTAAAATAAAAAGCTGGAGAACATACTGCTAAGAACTAACTAGGCAAATAACAAGTCGGTCAACAAACTCTTGATCGCGAGTTTCAGAACAACTTAAGAGTAAGAGTAGAGTCATTTAATTTATTAGTAAGTCCATGCTTCTGGAAACAAATAACCAACAAATCCCATACGCGACATGGAATGGTAACCGTACGAAAGGCCGCGGTTCGCCATATGGTTAAGCCGTCTTATCGGCTTTCCTCTCCCCCGGGATAAATATGTAAATCTTATCCCATCAGAATAGTAAGCTTATTCTTTGAACGAGATTTGCAGCATTCCAGAGTTACGTATTGCTTTGGAATAAATACAAACAATTTTTCTTCATTCAGTTATAACGTAACTACCCTTGAATCTCGAAAATGAAAAACCTAATCGTTTTTATTTTAATCCACGTCATCACGTTATCCTGGTGTTAAGATGAAACGGTGTTTTACTGCTCAGACAAGCGCATTGATGAAAATATGCATGACAAGGAACGTTAACTATGAACGCTACTGCATCAAAGAATACTGGCAACTGGTTTCCTGTCGTAACTAGGAATAGTTTAGGTAAGTTTGAGCTGTTGAACATGATTTGAGTTGGCGCCCCAGAAGTGTGTGTACCAATATGGAGTTAACTAATCTTGTTCGCCTACTCTACATTAAGCTGTATAAAGGAACTGGAACCTATGGGCAGGGGGTATATACAGTATACACATGGCTAACACAGACTGTCTCCGAACTCGTAATAGAACTAAAATTAGAAAAACCAGAACAAAATTATGCCTTAACCTGGTACACACACTACGGGAGTTCCTGTTTTTGAACAATTCATAATACGTATATACAAATTGTATAGTTATAGTAGGACTAGACTAATGCCAAGTTAAAAATATAGTAATAATACAGCTCAATCTGAAGCACAAATTTTGTTTCTAAAACTTTAAAAAAATTTTGGGGGAAAAATCCTATCTGGTTTAAATGAAATTTAGATTCTAATTTATTGGAGAGCTGACATCTTTTCTTGAGTAAAACAATATTCACAAAAATTTACAAAGACACCCAGAGAAAACATCCATTTCTCTGGGCGGGCCATGAATGCTCCCGAAGTATTCGTACCAAGATGGCGCACAACCTGAACATAGTATGTGTAAGGTTGTTCAGGTTGTGCGTCGTCTTGGTACCAATAATCTGGAGCGCCTGAACAAGTATTTGAATCTGTGAATGTAATTATTTCTACTAGAAATTCGCGAGAATCGTAACAAGATCACAAAACAAACAAACGAAATAAAAGATTTCCGTGATAGCACTCTTCAGCAATCTCGTCAAATTGACAATCTACTGAATGAAAATAAAGAACAAAACTCTGAAATCAGGGATTTGAAGAAAGGTTAGTGCGATGTTTATGATTGGATAGGATTCACATATTTATCCCGGGGGAGAGAAAGCCTATAAGACGGCTTAATCATATGGAGAATCACGGCCTCTCGCCCGGTTACCATTCCATTTCGGGTATGGGATTAGTTAGTTATTTGTTTTCGGGAACATAGACTTGATGGTGGAGGAAGCAGTAACCAACCAGCGGTTACGTGAACCTCCTTACGGCAGCGAGGAGTCCAGCAATCCTCTCGAACATAACCATCTCCGCATGGGATTCGAACCTGCGAACACACGCAGAGTAATCAGAGGTACGATGGCGAGCGTATTACTAACGCTTAGCACAATGAGCCACACCGCCGTGCCGTATGTTAATTGTTTTCAATTAAAATCTTGGACTTTCACTATTTAAATCTGTGAGAAATTGAAGTTGACCTCGATATAAACATTCATACGTTTAAAAAAGAGTTGGAGTTATTACGATATTATTAGAACAATTGGATTGGTAATTCACTGCACCCCTTACTCCAAGACAGTGGTTCCCAACCTTTTTTGGCTCGCGACCCCCTTTGGTGATTTACAAATAATACCGCGCGACCCCCTGCCTCACTTTCTATACTTATCAATAAAATAAGCGGCAAAGAAGAGGCGAGGTTCTTACCACTTCATGACAGCTGCTGCCACGAACGTAACGATGGCAGCTCTTGTCGTGGTTATGGCGCTTTTACCGGTATATTCACAAAGTCGTGTACCAGATATTAGTGCATCATTCGGAAATATATCTACTTAAACCTGAAACCTAACCCCAAATCCATCAAATCTGTATCCATAAGAAAAATGTTCCAACCCAACCCATATTTATTGCCATCAGGGACAGCGCTGCCATTACAGCCGACATGCCGTGGTTACGGCAGCAAAATTT